ATTTAAGAATCGTCTTAAATATCTCTTGAAATATTTCGTAGCCAATAGAAGGATCCGTATAGCATCCATACGGATCATTTTTTAGCTAAATACTCTTTGAACGTGTATTTCAGACAAAGTTAAGTATAAAAATTGACTATAAACAGGCCTTAGTGTGCACTCAGTGCGCACCGGTGCACGCAATCGCTATAAGATATCAATCTAAACCTCACAATTTTTGTAATGCTCGCATCTTCGGCTTGTCCACTTTCTACAATTTTGTATTCTATTATACCGTATTATCGAGCGCAAGTACGCGAACAATCGCGGGCTTGAATTAGGACGAAATTACTGGCGCGAATCTACTTACGCGGACAAATACAAGTACACCAGGTGGAGGAGTAGATTGGATAAGTAGGATGAGACGCAGGACGGATGGTGGCTCTTCGTGGAATGGCTCGGTCGCAAGAAAAGATAAACGAAAGTCAGGAGCTGACTACACAGGACGATATCGTACTCTCCATTCCGCCTCGTCGGGACGACGAGGAGAAACGCGGACGGGAACGACGAAAGAACGGAATTCCGACTCGTGGGAACGGAAAGGTGGAGGCTGGGGGATTCGAGTCGCGAAAGGGAACTTTAAACTTCGCTATCTCTGCCGAGGCGGGAGTACGCAACGGGACCATACGTGTAAGCTGCCGTGATATCGATCTTCGTGTAGCAAATCTCCATCGCGGAGTGTCTCTTTGATGGTGGTTTTGACCGATAAGCTTCGACAGTTCTCGTCTGACGCAGGCAACATGAAATAAAGCTTTCAACAGTTTTACTCTCGAGGAGGCAAAAGGGGAGCTCGATGATCGGAAAGGAAAACTATGAGACTGTGCATGAAGGCGCAGATGAATGCAGAATTTTGTTTCAATCTTCCTCGTCGCTTTTACGGGGGGTTCATGTTTGATTACGAGAATTTTAATGAGTGTGTAAACGACCTCACTGGCAATTCTTTATTATAATAAAACACAACGTTTCGGACAGTAATACTGGTCCTCTTCAGGTAACAAACTTACAAGAGTGCCTACAAATGTAAGATTCGTCAGATTGGAGATGTGAAATTCCTTTGAAATTATTTCTGTTTTCTAACGTTGATGGCCAGACGCATTGTACAACGAAATTTCTGACTTCTAACTTAACTTTCATATCTCTAATCTGACGAATTTGTACATTTGTAGGCGCTCTTGTAAGTTTGTTGCCTGAAGAGGACCAGTGTTGCTGGCCGAAACGTTGTGCTTTAGTATAACAAAGAATTTACAGTAAGGTCGTTTCCACACTTATTAAAATTCTTGATTTCTCGACTGGCGTCACTGAGTTACTGTTTAATTTGATTACGAGAGTTGTTAGACAAGAACAAGCGACGTCTAATTTACTTTCCAGCGTTCATGAAAACGTTGAATCGTTATTAAAAGGATATAAATGTTATATATCTAATTCCGAGGGTAGTCTCGTCGAACAAAGAGGAAGATTACGACGCGAGGGGGAATTGCGGCGTTACGGTAATGTGATTGGGATTATTTTGTAGAATTATTGAATATGGAATTTCAGCGGAAACACAGAGGGAAGATGTAAAGGCGTTCCGTTAAAAATCCCCCCCGCTGGGTTTTAACAAGATATAACGTTTAACGAGTCCTTTCCGAGCTTCGTCTCTTGCCGCAAGTAAATCGAAGATAAACCTCGGGATTTAACCGGGGCTTAACCTATGCTAAGCGTGCTAAACCTCCTAGCCTAGACTCGACCGCATGGATGGCTGATTACATAGATTACAATGCAGTTTAATTGAGTTACGTCGCTAATGGCCGCAAACGCCGCGTTCATCTCTTTTCTGCTCTCACCCCGCCCCTTCCTCATTGCCTTTTATTACGTTTTATTGAAAACAAAAAATATATATTTCATATATGAAGACTGTGTAAATTTCATCGAAAAAAAAAAACTCTATGTACACCAACCCGGGCGCGTTCGATTCGCATGATCGCGATATCGCTAAGTGCTCTGAAATGCTTAATATGTCAGCTCTGATATTTTATTTGGCGATTTATGGAGCACGTGAATAGCGTGGCTGAAATATTAAAAATTTTGTCCAGCTTGTTTTTCGGATTCACCTCGAATCCATGTTTTTTTAATAGAATGGGAATCATTTCTGATTAAATTCATCAATATCGGCGTAATACATTTCAAAAATAAGCTCCCTCGCCCGCGTTGACCGCTCATCGGCATTTTATCTCGTTCGTATATTCTGCTTGCGCAATATGACAAGATTCATCGGTATATCAGTTAATCGTGCACAAGTAATTAAATATCCCCGCGCTATTGTCGCGAAATCGCGCAAGCGAAAAATACGATGAACGAGGAAAGAAGAAGAGGGAGGAGGGGATCTCAACGAGGCGGCGACGTCGCGACGCGCCGTGTCGAGCTGCCGAGATTATAAAACAATTGAATAAATCCGCCCCTTCGAGCGGCATCTAGGAGAAAGAAACGCGTCCTGAAAGGACGGAAGACAGAAGTGAGCGGAGGAAGGAATCCCTGAAGCCTCCCCCTCGCCTCGCCCCCTCGGCGCGTACCCCGGTCTGCGCCCCAACCCCGCCAACTTCTCCAAGATTCAAATGGCCTCGTTTCAAATCGATTTCGAATTATCTTCGGCGAGCGGATTCTGGCGGAACGGGAGAGAAGAGGGTCCGCCGGTGTAATGGAGGAAACGGTAGTGAGGCAAGGAGGTATATAAGAACGAAATGGCGGTGAGGAGATGATGGAAGGGCTGGCAAGGGGGGGGAGGCGGGAGGGGCAGAATGAAAAACTTAAGGGACTTTTACTGGACGGGAAAATGTTTGCCGGCGAGACAAGACGCCCGGCTGCCGTTTCTCGTCTGATTAAATAGGCAGGACCACTTTTACGGGCGGTGCACCGAGTCTGCATACGCAGACCCCGAGACGTTCCGCTCATAATTTCCCGGTCCCCGCGTGTCGAACTTTCGCTGCGCGTTCGGCAAAGAGATAAAAAGATTGGACGACAACGAGGTAGGGTGAAGAGATATCGCTTGATACGAGGGAGGGAAAAGTTTTACGCGGGAACGCGCGGCAGCGACAGAGTGATGTATTCACCGTCGAAGCCCAAGAGAACGGCGCCCAACAATAAGTTGGACATTACTTTTTAATAATCGACTTTGTAATTGCGTTACGAACTACGACGTTTCGCCAGCAACCAGCCTGTAAATTAGGTAGTAGACGGCGGTCGTGGAACTTTCGAAGGCCGCCTCTCGCCTGATTAAGCGGTTCGGCCTGCATTTGGCAACGGCACCGACACCGGCGTATGCACCGACTCCAGCTACTTGTTGGCTCTGACGTGCGGCTGTTCCACTCCGCTCCGAGTTCGTTCCCGCTGCAAGTTTCAACGGAGTGCGATATTAGCACTACATTCGTTCCGCTTCTCATTTTGCTGCGAAAACAGGGACAAAGTAAGACATAATGGGGCTCACCCTTTTGGAGCTAATTAAAGCGGCAAATTCGTTACGGCGACATGTAACCGTGCGTAGCTCCTCTCGCGACCGGTAAAACTGGTAAAATCGTATTTGTCGCGCGCATCTCCTGCCGGATAACGCAGAATATATTACTCCGCTGTTTCGTTAACGTGCACGACGTCATTGCGAACAATAATGACGACAATTTTAGCGACGGATTCTTTGACGAACTGGGAAGTGCATTTTTCTCAAAAATACCGAGTCTGTTGCAATTTCCAATATTTAATAACTGACTCGATTAACACTATCGACGAACGACCTGCGTAGGGATCTCAGAAAAAGAAAGGAAAACAAATTTATTAAGTTAATTATCCGTATTTTTCAATAAAAGTCAGGGAGATTTCCAGAAATTAAAATGTTTTCAAAATGAATAAAGATTGTTTAAAAGATGCGACGAGTCGTGCGGACTCCCTTGATGACATGCACGACGTCATTGCGAACGACAATCACGATAATTTTAGCGACGGATTCTTTGACGAACTGAGAAATGTATATTTTTCTCAAAAATGCCGAGTCTGTTGCAATTTCCAATATTTAATAACTGACTCAATTAACATTATCGACGACCAACCTACGTAGAGATCTCAGAAAAAGAAGAGAAAACAAATTTATTAAGTTAATTTCCGTATTTTTCAATAAAAGTCAGGGAGAGTTTCGGAAACTAAAATGTTTTCAAAATCAATAATGATTGTTTAAAAGATGCGACGAGTCGCGTAGACTCTCGTAATAATTAAAATTTACAAAATTGAATGAAAGACACGATCTTTTCTTATTTCTTATTAATCTCTTGAATACTGTTAGTCGATAAAAATAGCGACTGCTGCGGCTTTAAGTAGCAATAAAAATGCGATTGGAATCAAGCATGTTTAATAATTGATTGCAATATAATAAACTACATAACGCACACATTTTAATAGCAAATAGCAATAGCCTGTTTTGCGAAAGCTCCTAATGACACGTCACGCGAACACGATTCGTTAACTCGAATTGCAACAAGATTATATTGCGCGTGCAGCAATGTGTACTTAAGGTACACGCTCCCTCGTAATCTTGCAAGATACTTCCCCTTTGTCTTTCGCGGTCATAAAAGCGCTCGTTTGGCCCGCAACGGCATTCCTCTGGGGGTGGGAAAAAAAATGGTACAATAACGAACACAGATCGTAACAGGCAGGAAGACATCGTGGCGAGACGCGCGCGCGCGGTTGCGCTTATCTCTAATTTATCGCGAAATTAGAAAATAACGAGAAATGAAATCGCGCGCTCGATCTCGCGGCAGAACAACTCTAGCACAACGGAGGATTGCTCTTTTCCCCTTCTTCCTCTATCTTTCTCTCTTTCTCCCTGTCAGCCGCTTGATAAATATACACACACGCGCGCGCTCGCGCGCGTCAGTATCACAGGAGTCTCGTTTCCGTTGCGCAATAGGTTTTAATTGAAATCTTCTCCTTTTTTTTAACAGAATCAAATCCTGGCGCATAACACGTCGGCGAGGATCATCTGGTCGAATCAGAGCCTCGTCTTGCAAAGTGTAACGAGAAGCAGCGCTGGCCTCTACGTCTGCGCAGCAACGAACGCCCTGAACGAGACGCGCAGCGAACCGCTGCACTTTCGAGTTAAATGTAAGTTGATCCACGATTAAAAATACTCCCCGCGACAGGCCTGAAAAGAAATATTATCAGCTAGCGTTTGTCGCGCGCTGATACATCTTACGTTTGAATCGCACGATTCTTTACTAGCAATTAGACGATTTCTGATTGTAATCTTATAATTTCTTTTGTATATGAATTTACTGTACACCCCCTGGGTACCACGTACGTTGTGAACACTTTACGAGTGCTTAGCTAGAGACTACATTTTTTTAAAATCCAATTCCCAGAATAGCCGACTGTCGACACGAAAGCCGCCTCTAAGTTCCGTGAAAGAAGTGATTCGTAGCTTACGGAATAGGGCAGCACACGTGCGCGGTTCTCGCTCTTGAAAAACTCTCTAGAGCACGAATTACCAAAGCGGCCCTCCCAAGTAAGAGATCTCAAACGGGAGCGGCATGAAAGGACCTCGTGCACTTTTCTCGTAGGACGCACAATTTGCGAGGTATTTGCGAGAAAATCCGAATTCCGTTTCCAGGCGTTTTTCGGTAAAATGTCGCTGCGGTTTAAAAAGTCTCTAGAATACTCCGGAGTGTGTGTGTGTGTGTGTGTGTGCGCGCGCGCGCGTGTGCTCTGTTTAAAAATTAAAATATCAGGTTGAGTTCTTAATCATACGGAAGAGATGTCAAAGTACGGGATTACAGTCAACTGTGAAATTTCGTAATCGGATTTTCGTGAAAGTATAACGCGAAAGGATTTCGCGTTCACTCGCGCGGGCCGCTTAATCTAATTCGTAAAACTATCCGGGAACAATTGACACGCAGAGGCACTTACTTAGTACGAAACCCCGGCGTCGCTTGCGGGATCGCATACGAACTCCAATTTCGCAGACAGGCGGAGGGGGTCCTCAATATTTAACCGTGGATCGTGACGACCTCGTAAAGATAGGGGAAACAGTCACGGATAAGCCAGAATCTCGCGAGCATCCACGAGTCGAAGTTGGGGACGGTCTCGTGGTTTATTTCCTTGGATATTACGCCGTCGTTAGAAGAGAGGAAATAACGTTTCGTTGACGCCATCGACACTGTAGTGATATAATGGAATTTAAGGTAGCCGGGACGTAAGTGTACCTAAAGAAGATAGGATAAAAGCTTTCAAGTTCACACTACGATTCGATATCACGTTCGAATCGATCGGTGCAGAGAGAAAGCATATATGTACCCGCGACATACATGGAAGATTTTCCAAGAGGAAAAAGAAGGAGATACTTGAATAATTTATTCTCAGAGTTTCCACTTTACGAGATGACAATCTGCGTATTATTGTATACTTTCGTATTAGTTTCTTACACGGAGACAATTTTCTTGTAAAATCTACCCTGAAAATCATGTAATGGGATAACATGGTATTTTGAAGAATTTATGTTTTTTTAATTTTATCATATATTTTACTAGTAAAATGTATAGAGGGAAGTTTGCTATTATGAGATAGAATTCTAATATGGGATAGCGGGGTTTCTGTTAAATTAATAGTCATCGTTAGTTGATTCCACCGTGAATTTATTTCCCTGCGAAATATGTTTAGTGGAAAATTTATTGCTAGATTGTGTAATCATTGCGAAAAAAGATCTGTGATTGAATTTGGGTGTTGAAAACCTGCTATCTCATAATAAAGAACTTTCCTCTACGAATTGTAAGTATAATTACTAGTAAAATGTACGGTAAAATTTCAGAAAACTCTCATAAAGTTACTCCAAATGCCACGTTGTCCCACGATTACATGATTTTCAGGATAAATTTTAAGAGAAAATTCTCTCCTATATTATCGTCATACACTTTTTACCTCAAATCCGATAGTTATATATTTTTTATTTATAATCCTTTTTTATATGCAAGGGAAAATAATTAGAGTCTCTAACTTATTTATAACAAAGTTGTCTCGCGTTTTCCACAAAACTGCTTTCTCTGTATTTATAAATTTTTTTTGTGCGAAGATTAATAGAGCCACGTGACGATAGATTATTCATCGATGTACGAACCTGGTAAATATTCCAAACAAAAACCGTGCAGATTTTACCGATTTGCACGGTAATCGGATATTATACACACACATGAAGGTTTTAAATCGAACAATATTAATTAATGGCTACAATAAAATAGCTTTGCCATTTTTCGATGTGTAAATGTTAATTAAATTTTATAGGAACTAATTGAAACCGCATACTATAGTCGGTATGATCATTTAACACGATTTATTTTTCACTTTAAATTACGCAATTCAATTATGCAAAAAAACCCCCCATAGTTTGTCTGATATTTGTTCTACATAATTTCAAGACAGTTCGTAAGTTTTTAATCAACAGAGAAAGAAATCTACCGTTTATAAAACGCGGAATAAATATACAAATAACGTTCTCGAGATCCGCAAAATAGTTTATGAGTAAGCTAAAATAATCTTTGGTCTTTATTTGTTAATTTGTCACTATCTACTTATGATTACCGTGCGTTGCAATATCGTATTTACTACAAAGCTTAAAAAATGGTACATGCAGATTACGATTTCGCGTTAGTTTTATACGGATACTATCCACGAAAACCTTGTAATATTGTAAATGTAATGCGTTTACAATTACACACGCGTATTCCCCGCACACGCACATACACACACGTCTCGCGCGTTTACCCTTCTATCGTGAAATTTCTCTGACGGCGCATTTGTTTCGTGTTGCTTGTTCGGATAAAAACCCGTGATCAAAGTTCAAATATGAGGCAATTGAAAATGCTACAAATGGAACAATGCGGCGAGAGAAGAACAATAAGCCTGTAACGCGGCGCATTCTCTCCCGCTCAAATTTAATATTAAACAGCGAAAAGCTTTAGCTCTCGTGGAATGCTGTATTACGGCCATCATCGAAAATTAATAACAATCGCTTGTCTTTTGCGAATCGAATTACGATAGGAAATGCGCAGTAATTATGAACGTAATAAAGCTGAAAAGTCCGTAATAAAAGTGACATGCTAAAAGCAATCCGAGTTCAATAATGAGTACTTTCAACCGGTCGAGATCACAGGCTTTTCAAGCCTGGACCCGACTCCCGTTTTATATCCCCCCATCCCCCCCGGCTACATTTGTTGGACGTTATATCAGCATTTCGATCTTGGCTCTGATTATTCGCGTAATATCAATTTCCACCGTTCAGCCCCGGCAACGTCTCGTTTGGTTACACGATGAGAGATACGTATGCCCGTGTTCGCCCTCCTCCTTCGCGCGGAGGGCGCGAGACGAATGGAGACAAAGGGAGGCGCAGATAAACGTAGACAAATCGGGACAAATATATATCGTCGCGCCGGGAAGACGGTGGGAAGAGGAGAGTAGACCTTCTTGCATAACTCGCGTTGATAAAACGGGATTCCACCGTCGATTAGGGGAGGGGAGCAGCCGCCCCCGATGCGTGACAAAATGCCGGGGGGGTGTGTCGGAAAAATCGTGCCCGTTGCACGACATCGCTATCACTTATGTGTTTTCCCAGATGCAACTGCGATATGTAGGTCGTTATTGGCATACCGTCGGAAACCTACCGCCCTTCCGTGTACAGACAACGCCGAGGCGGCAGGCAGGTACTTGGATCTCGTCGTCGCTTTATCTCGTCTACTACGGCTTTGCTAGATCGACAGAAAAATCTTCCCTTGCCGTCCGATCCGTCAATATTTCTGGAGCGATCAGAATAATTTGTATTGCGTTATAGGACAACGATCGAGTGCACCGAACGGATTTGTAACTTTATGATAATTTTTGTAAGGTGCAGCTACAAAACGCCACTTGAATTCTAAATAAGCCTGGAATCGTAATAATTTATATAGTGGGTGCGTTAATAACGAACTTTTCTTCTCCACGTCAATGCTTCGTTTTCAAGTTTGATTGGCGCACAAGTAAGTCACTGGACTGCAAGCGTACGTGAATTAGATGATAATTTGTGTAAATTGTGCAGCTACAAAGCGACCATTTGAATTATTAGTAAGTCTGGAATCGTAATAATTTATATATCAAATGTACTATTTCGCATCAATGCTTCTTTTTCCTAAGTTTGATTGGCGAACACATAAGTCACTTGACTGCAAGCGTACGTGAATTAGATAACATTGTCATTCAAATGGCGGACTTTCGTTGTTCGCGAAGATTACGATCGGCAATTAACACCCTTGTCGCTTGATGAATACCAGATGCTTGTTCGTGAAAAGCGGTCTATCCTAAAAACTTATCTTTCTCGCAGCTATGATAATTTCTGGTTGGCATAACAAAGTAGAGAGCCGTTGGCGTAAGACGAAGGAAAAAGCGTCACTTCATAAAAACTGCACCCCAAGGTAGGAAGCTAAAGAGGACGAGCTAAAGAGAGTAGCATTAATAATGTTTATCGAGAAGCGCAATTAATACGCGTCGCTCGTCGCCCAAGTAATCTCCTGACGGGACATGCCCGAAGGCGAGGAAAGCATAAGGCAGTCATTTTGAAATTTACAACACTAATCCGCAAATGAAATCTGCGAGTAGCCTGATGAAAGGGGAAAAGCGAAACAGCACTGATATTTACTTCACATCCCTCCCGACAGATGTCTGTCGATTTTTTTGAAACTTTAATTAGCGCGCTGGTCTCTTTTTGCATTTCACCAAATTAAATCGTCAAAATCATGTTTCTTGAGCCATAATTGCAAAAATTCAAGATTCTAGCTGTTTCACCTTCCACGAAGATTCTGATTAACTGTAAATAAACTTGAAAAAGGTTCAATTAATTACAGACTCTCGATGTTCGAGAGGAACGAGGGAAAAGGCTTGAGAATCAAATGTGATTCTTTGTGAATCAACGTTATTTAAACATAGAAATATCTTTGGTTGCCAGTAATAGATAACAATAATCAAGATAACGATAATAAAAAATATTGATCAACGTTATTTAACTTCGATTCACGTTGCAGTACAAACCACGAGTTGTACGGTTCGGCACCTAAAACCATCTTCAGCGATAAGAGATAAATTGAGTAATCTCACGTTTTCCGATTAGTATAAGGTGAATATAAAAAATTAATACACGGCTAGCGCAAGTCCGGAGAGAAAATATGAAAAAAATTCGGCTAATATTTATAATCCACAAAATATTCGAACTGGAAATAAAAGTCAGGATTAACCAGCAAAGGGAAGCGAGATCCACTCGTCAAAATAAATCCAGAAAACGTGAGATTAACAACGTGAAGCCTTGGAAAAGGCATCGGGTACTGAATCGATTATTTAAGCAGTGGTGGATAAAATTTAGACAATAATACACTTGAAACAATGGCGTGGTTACAATAGACAGCTTGTACGGACGCCAACCATTGATCGAGGTCAACGGAACGAGGTCAACAAACAGATTCATCCCATTGTACCGGCATCAATAACATTTGTAATATCGATATAACCGAGCGATTAATTGTTGCATGATGTAACGTTTTGTGAAGACGCACATAAATTTCACAAATTCTAGCGTCGATGATAAAATTCGTAGTACGATGACTGTCGGCGATTATTCAACGAAATCTGCTGAATGTGAATTTAAAACCTCGGTTAACGCACTCCCGCTTTGCATTTCACCAAATTAAAAACCACTGAACGCGCGTATCCCCCTTTGCAAATGTGGAAATTCAAGATTTCGCGTTCGCAGCTCTGTAAATTCCGCCCACCGTGGAAATCCTGATTGTTACAAATATCGCGAATTCCAGCACCGACGGTAAAATCCGTAGTGCGATGGTCATCAAAGGGCCGCCAGGTCGCGTTAAAAATTGCAAAACACGTAGCGGAGAAAAAAATCCTCTCGCTTCTCGGCGGTACGTACAAATCAATAATTCTGCGGCACTAATTCGCGCGTAAAACCGAAATCTCATGCTCCCTATTGAATTCCAGTCCCTTCGCGGAAACCCCGATTGTCACTTTCGGGAATTCTAATGCCAACGGTAAAGTCCATAGTGCATGCCCGAGTCGAAATTTTGGCCCTATGTTGAACCTTCTATTACATAGTATGACCTAAGACAGTAAAAGAGGTCGAACTGCAAGTACAAAATTTACTCCTACTTAAAAACTGATATGGTGTCGGAAATTTCTACTTTTGCCAATTTAGCACTAAAGTAGGTCCTTTTAAGTGGGAGCTTAAGTAAATTTTGAGAATTAAAGATTCAAGGGAGAAGTACAAAAATATAATGTCATCAAAGTAGGTTAATGCTGATCTATGTAGGTCTATAGATCAGCTAAGTAGGTGTAAATTATCCTAAAAGTGTCCTTAAAAGTGTCAAAATAGTAGTCAAAATTTCGACTCGGGCATCTATAGCGCGATGCTCGTCAAGGGGTCACCCCGTCGCGTTATAAGCTCCGGGACACATGGCGGGCAAGAAGATCGTCTCGCTCCTGCCGCCGGTACATACAGATCGATAATTCTGCTTCCAGTCGCGCCGGTGTGCAAGGAGGACCGGATCATAGTGGTCGGTGCATCGCGGGGCGAGTCGCTCGACATCGCCTGTAGGGTCGAGGCCGATCCGCCGGCGCACAATTTCCGGTGGAAATTCAACAACAGCGGCGAGACCCTGGAGGTAGCACCTGCTAGGTTCTCCATGGAGAAGTCGAGCGGCGTCAGCGTGCTGAGATACACGCCGTCCACCGAGCTGGATTACGGTACCCTCTCGTGCTGGGCGGACAATCTCGTCGGTACCCAGTCGAGGCCGTGTCTTTTTCAGCTGGTGGCAGCCGGTGAGTATACACGATAAACCGCGGCGATGCCTCGGACGGGGCTTTACCAGGGGCGAAATATAGCCAGCCTTCTTGGGAAAAACCTCGATCGAAACCGGTGCCGGTGTGTCGGCGCGGTAAACTGTTTATTAACCGGCAATTTGTGGGTCGGATATGTTGGTCCTTCCGTTTCGACGTGTCGCCTTTGTTGCGTACGTTTCACTACGTCTGCGAGCAGCCGAGAGAGCGGCGATAAAAATCGAGTTCATCTAAATACGAACTAGCAATCGATAATTGTCTCGTCCTCGTTTTACCTCGTTAGGAATACTTTTTTTTTGTTTATTTAGGCGCATTAATAGGGGACGGGGAAGAGGGTGCGAATAGAAGAAGCGCTCGCTCGTACAATCGATGAGGTTTTAAAACTGCCGTTCGTGGGCGGAATGCATGGATGTTTGTGTGTGATTATTACATTAGAGATTATTGGATTATAAAGTCGGCATACTTGTTCGAAATTGTGAAAATTCCTCGTGTTTGAGGAAACAACGCGGCGCAACTGCGAGAGTTGCGCAAATAAATAGAATGACTGAAGTAGGGCGTTTAAAGAAACATACTCGACGTTTAGTTCGGTGCTCGAAATCGTGGGGAAAAAACGCGCTGGCGCTGAACAAAAGCGAAATAATCCACAGCCACGGGGGCGGGGGTGGGGAGGGGGGGTGGAGGGCGCCTCGTAATAAATTCTTTGTCCCGTTGTAAAATTAGGTGCATTTTTAATCGCGCGAGCTGTCCGCGCGCGAAAAATCGCCGAAAGCGCGCGACGATTGAAATGCAAAATCGCTGTTTTCGCGGGATCCCATGGGGAGGGGGAAAAAAAAGAGCACCCCCGCGAATCATCGTCGTACAATGGGAGGCGACCAATCATCGACCGTTAAATCGGCATTAATCCCCAGGCGAATTTTTTCGCGTTTCCTCGTTCTCCCTTTTTTTCGCCCCTTCCTCTCTCCCCCCTCTCACCCCCCCCCCCCACCCCCCGTTCGTGCGTGATCGACAGTGACGTTGACATGGCGATCGGCCGAGGACGTATTGACGTTGACGAATACGTCGAGTGTGAGCGGCACCGGTGTGTGCCCCTCACCCCCCTCGCCTCTCACCCCTTCCAGCCCCCTCACCACCCCCCCGCGAAAATAAAATCGTCCGTCCTCCTTTCGCGCACCATCCGCTCCTTTGCCTCGATATCGAAATCCTCTCGCGGTGCTCCACCAATGCCAACGACCCGTAAACCCGATGGCATGATATTATTTTTGTACCCCTATCCGTTCCTCGCTCCCGCCGTCGTCCTCCGCGTTATTGATGTCGGTTAGCATTCCGCGAAGCATTTCGGTAAGGAATATGCCCGTCGAGGCGCGGCGGTATGGTAAAAAGACGGGATTTCCGGGACGGGGTCTCGCGAACGGAGTCGAGGATCACGTTAGACGCCACTCGTTACGCGAATCGAACGTACAATTGGAATTCCGGGACGTATCGAAATTTACGAGCACCGAACGCATGAATGAAACAAAGGTACTCCGTTTTCTGTCAAAAATCGCGATACGTAGACGTATATAGATTAATAATATCGATACGTTTCAAAGGGCTTTTTAAAGAGTTAAGTCGTGAATATTATAGGCAAAATATTGACGATTAAGCATTTATTGAGTGCACCCGCGGGAAAGATTTCCAATGTTATTATTTCGATTTACCGTAACGTAGGATCGGCATGGCGAACATCGTATTTATTATCGAGAGAGAAGTATTTTAATCTCGCATGGAAAATTATTGTTTTACAATTAAAGGGAAAATCTATAATAAAATTACGTTGGCGCATGCGTTACAACGTATCGAGCGGAGAATTATTTCAAATAGGACACGTAATCTTAAATTTATATACGTTACCCTTATTTCAAGTGAATATTATTAAGGGATTACATCTATCAGACGTCTCTTAAAATAGACCTTTTTTCGGGGATTTTTTTTCCCATGAAGCAATAAAACAATCAAAATGCTGTATAAAGGGTTCATTATACATATAATGAGGTGTACAAAAAAATTTTTTGTTTAATATGTGTTTCCAAAATGGCCGCAGTACAAACGGTTGAAGTACAGTGTCTCTTTCTGGAAGAGGTCAGCGGCAAGATGAATAACTTTTGCAATTTTTATCCGATCGACTTGAAATTTAAACTGTAGCTTCTTAGATATATTTTAAAGAGAAGTACACACGATTTTAATGATTGATTAACAATTTTTTATAAACGTTTAAACGTCAAATTTTTGCTGAAAAACGAAAAAAAAGTTCAAATTTATGTCTACTTGCGAAAAATTAAGTTTGGTTATTAATCATGTGTACTTCTCTGACAAATTTAGTGTAGATTACGAAAAAAATTTTTTATTTAGTCCTAGGTGCAGATGGAAAAATGTTATTCATCTTGCCGCAGACCTCTTCCAGAAAAAGACACTGTACTTCAACCGTCTGTACTGCGGCCATTTTGGAAAAAAATATTAAACAAAAAATTTTTTTGTACACCTTATTATATGTATAATGAACCCTTTATACTGCATTTTGATTGTTTCATTGCTTCATGGGAAAAAAAATTCCCGAAAAAAGGTCTATTTTAAGAGACGTCTGATAGATGTAACCCCTTAATTCGAGAACGGAGAACAGGAATTGTTGATTTAGTTTCAACATTTTGGTCAGAAAATCGCTTATTCGCGAGTAAAGCCAGCGGTACGCGTACTATCTTTCCTGCTGGATCGCTTACGAGAACCAATAAGGATGCAGAGTTTTAGATCAGGTGACCAAATGTTTTACATTTTTGCCTACACGAAGTTGTGATAATTTATGTCGAGAACATTTTTGTCTTTATCAGAAGGCCTTTGTAAAAGGGAACAGTATGCAAGATTACTTAAGCCAACGTAACACTATTTTTCCTACTGGACTGCTTACGCGAGCCAATCAGGATTTAGCCCGAAGTCACCTGATCTAAAACCCTGCATCCTTATTGGTTCTCGTAAGCGATCCAGCAGGAAAGATAGTACGCGTACCGCTGGCTTTACTCGCGAATAAGCGATTTTCTGACCAAAATTTATCCGCGATCCACTTTCTTGGCAGCCGAATGTAAAAACGAACTACACACGTTCGCGCTCTGCGCGGTCATATTACGCGTGCTTGTACCGGGCGCGTTGATTTTTCGACGAGGTTTTACGTAGAAAAATCTAAGAGAAATACCCGCCGTTTCTGCGAGTCATTCAGTTTGACGAACTTAGCCGTCCTTCTTTGTTCGCAAAACTAATTTGAATTTACCTCTATCCGGGCGATGCCCTTTTACGAGCGCGAAAGCGCTGGTTACAAATGTTTGTTCGCGGGGAATGGGGGTCCGGGCTACGTGGCAAAGCGACATAAGAAACGGAAGGGCAAAGACGAGCGAGGAGAGAACAAACGCGCGTAAAGTACAAACGAAGCATTGTCGAGATTCAATATACGTTCTGCAGATCCGCGAGTCATAACGAGGAGGCAGAGGGAGGACGACGACGACGACGGCGACGGACTTTGTGATAAATGAAATCCCGAGCGAATGAACGGCGAAACGAGCGCGTTGAATATCGAAATTAGATTGAAGGAAGAGACGCGCTCACGGCGTTCGTCACGCGAGCATGAAACGAGCGATATCCTCCTCGCCGCGGTCACGACTTCCGCCAAGAAGGACGCGCGAGAATTGATTTCGGAGAGAGAGAGAGAGAGAGAAAAAAGCGAGGCGCTCTCGTTCCCCGCGGCGGGGAGGATGTGTCACGCTGACGGCGGTAGTCGGAGGTGCGGGAAGAAAAAGTGGGCAGGACACATCTCTACGCCCATTACGATCCTGGTACACTAAATCTTTGCCACTCGTGGACACGCGAGCATTTTTCACTCGCGCGCCGGGCTTGATTTCCGAGGGAACGACCCCCGAGCCAACCTGTGGAGCCGCTTTCGGATGTATAGACGCGTACAAGATGTCCAGAAAATGTCACGAGACGGAAGTGGCGGTCGTGCGTGTCCGTGCGCTGAGAAAGATTTAGTGTCGGGGAGGCAACGGCCGCGAGGGCGAAAGAGGGAGAGAGAGAGAGAGAGAGAGAGTCGTCTCTCGCCTCGTGCTTTTGTCGAGGCTCCATTTTTCCGCGGGGAGGGAGGGAGCTATTTCAGTTGTATAAGTCGCGCAATGTACGAGCCGTCGCCTTCCACCCCGCCAATTTCCGTCATCGACCACTCTCGTTCCAGGGAAACCGTTTCCGGTGCGCAACTGCACGTTGGCAAACCAGACGTACACCAGCGTGGAGGTGAGATGCGTGCCGGGGTACGACGGTGGGCTGCCGCAGAAATTCGTCCTGGAGGTTTATCACGGTGACGTCGATTATCTGGCGAGCAGCCAGCCCCTCTACAACGTCTCCAACCCGGACGAGCCGTCCTTCGCCCTCGCCGGGCTGGAGGCCTCGGTCGAGGCCGGAGTCCACGTGGCGGTTTACGCGGTGAACGCCAAGGGTCGAAGTCAGCCGGTCATTCTCAGCGAGGTCACGTATCGCGATGCTGAAAAACGCACCGGTAAGTACTCGAGCTCGCGGGGTGCACGTCGCACCCTCCACAGTAATAAATAGGGGTGTATCTTTGGGGAGGTAGTGGCACTAAGACGCGCCACTTATTAATTGTCGGCAAGAAAAATAACTGGGACTGGACCAGGATTCGAACCTGGGTCCTTCCGCTCGCCGGGCGAATGCTCTTCCAACTGAGCTATCCAGGCCCTTTCTCGCTTACCTACTTCATTTTACTAAATAAATAATCGCACCCCGTCGTGTTCGCCAAATAAAGTCGGAGACCGAAGTTCGGCCGACCGCGTGCTATCGACTGTTCTCGCTACACATCGGGAGGATCAACGCGGCATTAAATTGTGTTGGTGAAGTTTCGTAATATTCTTGCCCCGTACTTGCGCGAGGGATATTCCTAGGCGGGTTGACTGCGCGTTACGCGGGCGGGTTAGATTATCGCGACGACAGGATGAAAAATCGCGTATCGTCTATCACTTACAAAGTCGACGCGAGGTCGAATGCGGCGCGTCGCTGAGGAGAAGTCAACCGGGCTCAACCCTGCTCAATTTGGCGGGCGTCCGCGATTGCCCGGAGATTAGCGGAAGGTGCTGGTCGAGTACACGGATCGACGCAAGGTCACCGTGAGTTCATGTGGGTCTTTTGGGCAGGGCAGGACGATTCGGGGTAGCGGCTGTTCTCAAGGTGGGTGGTGTCAGCGACGCGCGGGCGGTAAGCAAGACAGATCACCACCCTCGAGACAACGCTACGAGACGAACGCACCGCACCCCATTAGACTTTCGTATATATTGCGCATCGCGCTGCTTATCAAGAACAGCCCGGATGCACGCCAGAATTAACCCCGAGGAATATATCGAACGTTACGTTTCTCTCAAATTGCAGAATTGTCCGATCCACTCTTCGGGGTGTAATAAAGTGTACATGCGTTCATTCTTGACGAAGCCGACGTTTAGGTGTATACCCGAGTCGAAATTTTGGTGCTATTTTGACACGTTTAAGGACAATTTACACCTACATAGACCAGCAATAATATAACCTACTTTGATAACATATTTTTTACTCCTCCTTTGAATTTTTAATTCTAAAAATTTACTTCAGCTCCTACTTAAAAGGACCTACTTTAATGCTAAATTGGCAAAAGTAGAAATTTCCGACACTATCAGGTTTGAAAGTAGGAGTCAATTTTGTACTTGCAGTTCGACCTCTTTTACCGTCTTAGGTCCTGCTATATAATAGAATTAAAGGTGTTTTATTTTAGCCTCATTGTTTTCAACGCTAAATTTTTCCATTTAAAGGTTTTTTATACATAGCGAAGGAAATCATACTGTAATTTCTAATTTTTGTCGTTATGCATTTTTTAAATTAAATCTTGAATTGACGTCTTCTTGTAATGTTTTTTTTAATAGAGTGCAAGAGGTTTGTTATGTTTAACAAACAAAGTAACAAGTTCAGTTTTTATTACTCAAAGTACTTAGCTTCCAGCCATTCCAGAAACTCGTAATTTGATATTAGTTCTCAATAGAAAACCTTTTACACTGCAATTTTCAATACAACGCGAAGGGCGCTACGAGACGTGAAATAAATCTCTCGCGTCTCGTGAAATGAATCTGAATCTGGAAAGTCGACCGCTAATTATTTCCATTGCAAAACGTGAGTGCGGAAATAGGCGTATCCCAACACGGTACGGGAGTACAGAGGGTAACGTAACGAGAACGTGGCAATGTTACGAGCGCGTCACGTTGCGTATCATTAAACACGGTGGCAAATGAAGCCGCAACCAACGCTCGCTCGCGTACGCAACGCAACGTAGTGTTACGTGCACGCGCGTTCTCGTAAACAGTAGTTCTCGCAGTGGCCCGAGGTAAAACGGCCAGCGCCCGAATCAATTGTCAGCGAAGTGATTTACGGTCGTCGCAGCGTCGATCAATTTGCCGCTCGATGGCGAGCGACGCGGTCGGTTTTTCCGCGTGACTTTTGACCCCCCCGGTGGCTGCGAGGGCGCCCGCGCCGGTCCTCAAAAACAAATTGAGGAATCTGCATTCGAGCGCGGGCCGAAGGAGATTCCGGCCGCCGCGCCGCGGCGCGATTTATTTCCGGTATCGATCACGCCAGGAGACAACCATCGCCCGGGATTCTATCCCCGTTTTCTGTACGCCCGCCGTCGCCTGTCGTTTGTACGCGAGGAATCGCGGGAGGGAAGCTGCGGCCACTGATTTCGGGGAAGACGGCGGGTATCCATCTTGCGTAGAAAGATCGAGGAGCGTTATTGGACCGCGCGAGAGAAATCGTGCAGATCGGAGTATCCGTCGCGGAGAGACACGACGTGCCCGGAGACGAAGTCGAACTTTTCACGCGATCCGCCACGCAGGTGGATCCGGGGGACGGGACGGGGGGGGGTGGCACTTAAGCCGTTTCTAACTTATTACACGAATTTTTTTGCTCCGCCACATAGGCAACGAACATCGAATTAAGGAAAGCAATTACAGATAATGGTCCCAGCGGCACCCAGCGCCGGGACCGCGCGGAGGACTCTCGGGGAGGAAGAAGGAAGCCAGAGCGGAACTGTAAGGGACGGAGAGAAGGAAAAGCCTATCCGAGAAAGATACGAATGTACAGGGTGGTCATTAAGCAGCTGCAGCTTTCCTTTCTCTCCGTTCTTGCGGTATCTCTCTCTCTCTCTCTCGTGCCTGCATGACCTCGACCGTTCTTGACTTCCTTTTTCTCTCCTTCTCTTTTTATCTTCCTCTCCCTATATCTTTCCTCCCTTATTCCTCCTC